GGATGCTGCGCAGCGGATGCAGTGGAAGGACGCGCACTCGGGGGCGGGGGTGGAGGGGGAGGAGGATGCTGCGCAGCGGATGCAGTGGAAGCACACGTCCGAGGACGCAATATCTTGGCGCTAGGATCATCGTCGCCACCATCATCAGAATCTTCGGGTTCAGACTCCACTGCCAGGTCGTCTGGATCGGACCACGGCTCCGCCTCCATCGGGTCATGAGCCATAGGATCCGGCTCGGGATCGTACACGGCATCCAACTTAGTCGGCATGAGCACCGTGGCACGATGACCGAAATATGTCTCGAAGTTGGGCGGAGCCTTGGAAAAGCGATCCTTCCGCCCGCGCTGCACCTGCCGCTAACGCTGCGCCTCCGTGACTCGGTCAGCTGGCTGAACACCCTCGTCACGAGGCGGAGGAATGTTGTCCTCTGTCTCCTCCTCAGCGTCCTCCCATGGCAGAACGTACCCTGAACCCCTCCCCTGACAACGACTCAATCTCGAGTTGGTGGATATCTTCACCAAACGAGCCAGCTTGATAAAACCAAGCTGGTTACGCTTCTTCACCTGAACACGGTTATGGACGGCCCAGTTCCTCTCCGCTGGAGAGGCGCACGTCCATGTGTGTGTCAGGCGAATGGCATAAGTCTGAAGGAGAGGGACCCCGTCCCCGTGCTGAACCCACCACTGCCCCACCTGCGATGTCTCCTTCTCCCATCTGCAGGACGCCGCATCCCTTTCACCCTCAACCCCTCCGTACGTCCAATCGCCCTCCCAGCTAAGAAACTCAGGCAACAGGGTGCGCAGCGTCTGATACAAGTCTTCATCTCCCTCAGTCTGCTGGCGAAGGTATCGAAGTGACTCCTCCACGAGTGTCTTGTCGTGCTCGCTGCGCCTCGCCGCTCCAAAATATGTAATGCTCCTGTGGCGAGGGTTGAGGAGGTGGGCGATGCAATGTGCGGGCTCCAACATATGATCGGCTCACACCTGACAAGCCTGAACAACGATGTTGAGCTCCTCCCTCGACGTCCTGTTCAGTCTTGCCCTCGCCACCCTGTCGACCATGGCAAGTGCCCACGACCACATGCGAATCATCACGCGCCCCCCTCTGTCCAAACGGCGTAACAGCTGCATCACAGGCGTCATGAGCTCCACGATGTCCTCCACGTGCTCCCAAAATGGCACGTACCGCACCTAATGATGCACCCACCTAGCCTGGAAGAAAATGGATCTCCTCCATGCAGTCCGCGACCAGTCGCCACTCATCATCAATGCCTCCAACGCTCGGCGATGATCCAACAACCTCTCCAACATCAAGTAGTGGGTAGCAAACCTCGTCTGTGCGGGGTACACAAGCTCTCTGCCTCGCCGCTGAGACGAGGGTGGCGCAGCGCTGGAACTGGCCGCAACTGCGGAGGCGGAAGAGGGGTGAGCGGCAGAGAACCGTCGGTAAAGGCTGAGAGCCGCCCCGTGCTCTCTAATGAACCGCACGACTGCTCGAGCCCTGATGATGGTGTCCTCCCTCTTCCCAAGCTTCCCGGGGGTGCCGTCCTTCGCAATGTCTGACAACAACAAGTTGCAAACATGCACCGCACGGAAGCTAAGTAATGCAACTGTACTTGACCTCCTCCTTCGCCAGGAGCTTGGATGCAGCCACATACACGGACACAGAATCCGTGCAAATGGCGTTGACGTTTTCGACACCAAAGTTGTCGAACACGTCCTTCCATCGCTCCACCACCACCTCGGCTGTCTCCTGGACAGCACTGTTGCGCTGCACAGTCCTGAAAAGGTAGGCTCCCGTGGGCCCAGCGACAAGGAAGTTGACGATCTGGTCGCTAGTGATGGACTTGCGACCATCCATGAGGATGGTCGCTCCCGTCGCCGCAATGTCCTTGCGGACGGCCGCCACCATCTCCGCCACAACTCGCTGCTGCTGTGTAATACCGTCGCCGAAAATGAGACGGTGCGTGGGCAACTCAGGATGTGTATATGGCGGACACTCGAGCAACCGCTTCCTCACTCGCTGGTACTCCGGCCTCCTCGTTGCCTCGAATGGAATCCCGTTGACGTACCACCACTGCAGGAACTCGTTCGTAAAATCTCGTTGCCACGCGGGATCGAAGGTCTCTGTCATGGAAGTCTGTTGAAGTACTTTGCCCTTCTTCGGGAGAGGAGGAGCTGGTGTCGTTGCCTTCCTCTTTCTCGTCTTCGACTGCACGGTGTCCTTCATCGCTTTAGCAGCCCCCTCTTGGCCTCGACGGCCAGCGGCCATCAGACCCACATCAAGAGATGCCCCAAGGTCTGCATCCTGATCGTCGTCGTCATCGTTGTCATCGTCGTGCTCGTCCGGGGTGCTGTCCTCGGCAACGGCCTTCTCCCCCTCATCTTTCCCCTGGCGCGCTCCGCCTCTCGCCTCACGTCCAAGTCCTGTGAATCACTGTCACTCTCATCACCTCCCCCCTCGGCCGCCCTCCTCTCTTGCTCGCTGTCGTCAGACTCCTCCCCCGCCTGCTCCCTCCCTGAAGTATTTCTATTGTCTCGAAACCCACGAGACCTCAGGAAGTCGATGATCTTCCGATGGTGGCTCTGATCGAACGGGTAGTTTGTCTTGTTCCAGATCTCCGCGAGCTGCTCCGCGGTGACTTGAGCGCAGTTGTTCTTTATTGTGAAGTGTTGTGCGGCCTTCGATTCACTGCCCTGAAAACCCCGGCCGCACAACTTGCACTCCATGAGAAAATTCCCATTGGAGTCCGGCAGTATTTGCCCCTTCGTTATCCACTTGAATCCGCAGAACTTGAGCTCCGCCTCCCTTTGTTTGTCCTTACTGACTGGGACAAACTGCTGCTCTCCCCTCCCTTTTCTGGGTGCCATCATTCACACCCCACAAGTGGCCCCAACGTGGACAAGGCCCGAACCGCGCTCCCCCCCCCCCCCCCCCCCCCCCCCCCGTGCCCTCGACCCTCCGAAGCCTTAGGCGTCCGGGCCGTACAGACGGTCACATCTCCGTACGTACGCGGCGTACGTACGGACGACCGTGAGCGA